TAGCATTCTGTCCCCTGCCAACGAAGCTGCCACACTCAAGAGAAATATCCTGAGGTCGATGAAAATCTGACCTCTTTGCAGCTTGTGTAATAAATAATCAGCTGGGTGAAGAGCCTTCTCTCGGGCCGGTCCCATGCTAGGCGTAGGGGGTTTAATAATGGCAACTGTAAACATTCCCTGAGCAGATACTAAGAGCCAGCCTTGGCCCCGTGCACTCACACAGTCCCCAAAATCAACAGTTATGGGTAGGTAGCCCGCCACTCACATACTACAGAGGAAATTTAGTAGGGGTAAGTGCCTCACTAAAGGTCACAAAAGAGGTAAGTGGTAGAGGTGGCATTCAGATCCAAGCTGTCTGATTCCACTGCCGCGCTCCAACTGACCTGGTCAACCACCTCTCTAGGAACAACTTCTGCTTTTTCCCACTGTATTACAAGGACTTCTTCACAGGTGTGGTGGCCCATGCCTGTAATGCCAGCACTCTAGGAATGCAAGGATTCCGAGTTTGTACCCAGCCTGAGGAACTCAGGAACTTCCTGAGACCCTGTCTCAAAAATAAGTAAATTAATGGATAGAAACTAAACAGGGCTGGAGATATAGCTCATATTAAAGGCCCCATATTCATTCCTCAGTACTAAAAAACAAAACAAGTACCTCCTCTACAGGACACAGGCAGTGACACAATCCTCAGATGTCTTTAGGGATGGATATTAGAACAAAGGGGAATCCAGAGTGTGAAGAAGTCCCCTCTCTTGTTCACAAGCAAATGCCACCCCTCCACCATTCTCTCGGTCCCGGGGACATGAATCCCCAACAGTACTTCTGGTTTGCATAGTTATCTATGTGAATCTTACTTTAAGAATTATAACCCAGAGGGGTGGCCCACACCTACACTTGTAATACTCTGGGAAACTGAGGCAGAAGCATTATATATTTGAAGCCAGCCTGGGCAATTTAATGACTTTGCAAGACTCCGTCTCAAAAATCTAAGAAAAGGCTGGGCAATGTAGTTCTTGAGGTACAAAGGCACTCAGTTTAATCCTCAGAAGCACAAAAAATGTTTAAAGTTCTACCATGGAATTTCATGACAATTCTATTATGGAAGCTTTTCTAATAACTGTCTGGAGTTATTGTCTTGCCCCAATCAGAAGTCTCTCAAAGGAAGCCTGGTCTGGTCAAAATCCTAAAGACATCTCACTAAAAATGTGGATTCCCAGAATCTATCTCAAACTACAGAATCAGCATCTCTGAGGGTGGGGCCAGAGGACCTCTATTTTTAACACCTTTCCATTGTGATTCTTACACACACAGAAATCTGAATAGTAATCTGAGGGTGGAGCCACAGGACCTATACTTTTTTTTTCCTTCTGGTAACAGACTGAACCCAGGGCCTTCACACTGAGCTGCATCTCCAGCCTTTCCTTAAATTTTGAGACAGGGTCTTGATGAGTTGCTGAACTGCCCAAGCTGTGCCGGGCTCAAAGTTGTGATCCTCTTGCCTCAGCCTCCCACAGTGCCAAAATTACTGACACATGCCATCACACCGGGCTTAAGAACTATACTTTTAGCATCCTCCCCTATTGATTCATTTACTGATGCTTATGCACACTGAAATCTGAATACCATTATTTCTAATTCTCAGAAAAAACTAGCCAGCGCCACAATGGATTCTGCTTCAAGCACAAGCAAAATCTTTCCTCCTCCTGATAGCAAGCTTTCTGTAAGGCAACCCCCTTTGTCATCGTATCCAAAATATTTTCTCATTATCTAAAAAATAATTGCTTCAGCCTGGCTTTAAAACATTTTCAAACCACCTTGGTTTTCCAAACTTTCTCCTACTCCATCCAATGATTCAAACTGTGACTCCAAATCACCTGGGATGAATTTATTTTCTTTTTATTTTAGGACCATACTTATTTTAATGTGAACAAGGAAAAATTCACTACAAAATCCAAACCTGTGATTCTATGATGAATAGTGGGGCTTACAAAAAGACTAAGTGGAAAACAAAATACAAATAGTAATAATTTTTTTTAAATATTAAATAACAGCACAGGCAGTACTCTGATAAAAGTCTTAGATTTGGGCAACCTTGTCCTGCCCAGGCCTCTCTAGCACGTACCCGCAGTTTCCGCCCTGGTTATCTGTTCTCATCCCTGCTCACAGCCACTCTTGGCCTTTACTCAAGTGGTGCCCGGAAGCCACCTTTTTATGCCCAATTCATGCCTCCTTCCAGGAATCTCCTGATTTTCCAGCCCTCCTAGCCCACAGTCTTTTTCTTTTTAACCTCTTTTAACCGACCTATGATACCACTCATTTGGAACTTTATTGTCACTTAAGTGCCCGTATGTATGTACTTTGCATCCCTTCCCTAGTGAAACACAAGCCCCGTGACAGTAACCTGTGGCCTATTTGCCTGTAGATTAGCTGCAATGCTAAGCCTCCCTAGCGGTATCTGAGTACAAAACAGGTCCTTGATGCACACACATTAACTCAAAGTACGGCTGAATAGGATGCTCTGCGGCTGCTTCACATTCGTGGCATCTCCTTCAGGCCAGACTTCTAGTCCCACCCGAGAAAGGGTGCATCTCTCCCAGAGGCCTGAGCCCAGGAAACTCTACCCAAAGGTGTGAGCCTGGGCCGACCCACTTATAACTGTGTCCATTCCCATGGCCAGTCACACTTGCCAATGCATGCCCAGGTTCAGGTGAGAGGAACAAGAGTAACTATAGCACCTTGTAGTGAAAACAACCCAAAATAAGCTGTCAGAACATGCTCTAATGACTTGATTCATCCTATGACTTTGGGCTTTTCTCTGACTCAGGTTTTTTAATCTGTCCAATACCTGTCATACGTAACTCATACTTGCTATAAGGCAAAAGATGTAATGATTTTAAGGCACTTTAAGTTACTACACACAATATAAAATGTCAGGGACATAGCATATAGATCAGCAAGGAGACCAAACAGCCTGGAAGCCCAGATGGGCTATTCCCCACTGGGCAAGCAACAGGCAACCAGAGGTTAAGACCCCCAATTTCCAACCCACCTTTTCCGGCCATATGATCTTGAGTAGTCATTAAGTTTCTCTGAGACTTGGTGTCCCTGTTATGATACTGGCCTGTCCACCAGACAATCTGGTCTGGGGCCAAAACCCAGCATGAAGCTGAGAACCTTAGAGAATGATAACCAAGCAGACAACCCCGTATGCAGGCTCCGATTGAAGCCCTACAGGGAAGGGGCGGTACCCTGATGTACCCAGAGTTTGCAGTGGACCCCAACTTAGTGTCAACAGAGCAACTCATCACACTCATGCAACTGACACCTGTGATAAAACCCAGCCCCGCTGTGTCCCATCTCCCCGCTCTCTGCCACACTGCCCATTCTGTCTGCAGACCATTTGGAAGGTCCCATCTCCTTGACACCACAGGCAAGTTTCTCTTCTTCAAAAACAACTTCTAGATTACAGGTTTTCAGTGTGGAAGTCTGATTCTGAAATTAGTTATTCCAGCTCCCCCTAGCCTAGGACATTCACTGCTTACAAAAGTCAGAGAAATGACGGCCATACACAGAAGAAACAGGGAATGAGTGGGAACTGGGGGAGAGAGAGCACAGTGATGGACAGTGGATCGCCACTGAGTTCTCTGGGAAGTCATGAAGGTTTGCCTGCTTTCCAAAGTGGAAACCACAAATCTCCTAGGGCTATACTAGTGTGGCTTATTGGAACTTCCCCTCAGCCCTGTAACCATGGTTTCAGTCAGACTACATCATAGCCATAAGCATAAAAAGATCTTTTTCTCTTATTTTCCCCCTGAAACTCCGCGTCCTTCAAAAAAATACGTCAGGCAACATGCCAAGGAGGTGCATATGCAACCTCTGACCCCACGGGATATTCATGAAGGTATCCAGTTTTCAATAGAAAGCAATTCCTCTACATCTTTTCGTGAGATGCAGCTCTCTCTCCTGTGCAGATGGAAGAACCCTGAACATATTCACCCAGAGCGGCACCAGTTATGGGTGGAACATGTAACAAACCTGAAAATACAGGTTTCCTCATGTAACGCCTTCCATGCAAGAAGAGATTTTTAAAAATAAATAAATAAAGCCTTCTTCTCTCTGCTTGTCCAAGTGCCAAGGTTGAATGTACAGTATTTGTTTAATAGTGTGTTGACAAGGCCTATTTCCAAGTCCTTGATATTTGACAATATAATCAATTACTGATCTTAATCTCAAAAACAGTATTTCATTCCATATTATCTTGATAATTAAAACAGAAAAAAATGTAACTTTAAGATTCGAAGCACTGATTCCCTGATACCCCATAAGTAGAATCATTTTAAAAAATACAACAGTTCTGGGTGGATGGGCAATGAATTGGACAAAACGAGCTGGACTGATATTTCCAGGACTTTAGAGGGGGCATACTGAGAGAGAACACATTTTCTCTCCTCTGGCAGAAGATGGGCTACCTATCTTGCAAATGAATAGAAACAAACAAGCTTCCTGCCCAGGAGAAAAATAAAGCAACTCCTCACTCAGCTACGCAGGACAAAGCCAAGACGCGGAAGAAACCTTCAATCTGAGCTCCACGTGCCTCTCCAAGGACGGAGGGACCCACACACACGCAGTCACTTGCAGCCAGCCCACCACGCAACTGTGGAAGGCACCAGGTCCCTAGCCTGCTTTCAGCATCAGCGGCCCGCAGCTCTGCCAGCTTGGGAACCCCTGCAGCACCGGCTGTCAAGGGAGCGAGAGAGGGCAGAGGGCCATCACTTCTTCCAGCTTCCCCACCCCAAAGCCTATGTCTCTCTACCTACCAAGCGAAATGTTTCTCTCCAGGGAAACTGGTATTACACACACACACACACACACACACACACACACACACATACACACGGACACACGGGCGCACACCCCAGTCATGACGACCCATGCCCAATGCTAAGTCTTCACCCGGTGCCCCATAGCCAGTCCCCGGGGCCGGGAGGGGCCAGACTCACCCAGTCCTCGAAGTGGCGGCTCCCGTTCTGCAGCAGCTCCTCGAACTGGATGGTACAGTTGGCCACGAAGTCATCGTAGCCGATGGGGGCATCGTGAAAGACGGCCAGCTCGATCTTGCGACCATTGCACACATCGGTGACGAACTCATCGTGCCAGGCCGGGCTGTTGGTCTTCTGCTTGGTGGCCGTTTGGCCGATGCGCGAGTCGTCCACGTTGAGCGCGATGTAGGGATCGAGGAGAAAAGTCTGCGGCCGGGGTCCCACCGCATGGCGCAGTGACCAGGCTGTGGGCTTCAAGCTCACGGCCTCGCAGATTTTGATTTTAAGAAGGCCATTGAACACTACCATGGTCGGGGCGGGGAGCGGGGGCCGGGTCACTCCGTCTGCCCAGCGGGCAGGAATGCAGAGCCGACGGCTGGCGCTCGAGCTACGGGGACTCCTGGGTCCCCTCTCTCCCCACCCCGTCGCTCTCTACACCTTGTGGCGCTGCGCCCCGGCGCCGGCGATCCTCAGCGAGCGCATGTATTTCCTTGCCGGATTCCTAACGGAAAGCAGGGAGGGGAGAGCTGGGAGACGTCCGCGTTTGGAGCGCTCTCTCCCCGCCAGCGCCGGGCACCTCCTGGGAAGGGGACGCGTGTCGGCCCCGCCGCCGGCCGGGCGCTGCTTCGCCGCTTCGCGGGCTCTCGGTCCCGGTGCGGAGAGCGGGCGCTGCGCCCGGCGCTTACCTACCTTTCCGAAACATAATCCCCGGGAAATTTCGACTCCGGGAGGGGGAGGGGGTAGCGGGACGGGGCGGGGACGAGAGCCGGGGGCGCAGATCTCAACCCGGATCCTCTTCGCCCACCCAGCGCCTGCTGCTGACCGCGCTGGGCGGGGGGCGGGCGGAGGGATGTGCAGTCTATCCTGAGGGATGCATGTCGAGAGGAAATGGTCCTCTGCGGAGCCGAAGGTTTCAAAATCACAGCCGCACCGCCAGCCGGGCCGCCGCCGCCCCCGGGGCGCAGCAGCGTTGCGCCGCAGCCGGCGATCCCCAGGCGCCAGGAGCCCGGAACCTCACATCCGCGCGGGCTCGGGGCGCAGGCCGGCTCGGGGCGGTGCGCAGCGCGGCGGCGGGGCCGGGACGGCGACTCGGCGGCCCCACCTCCCGGCGCCGGCGCCGCCCGCCGCGCTCCCCGCGTCCCGGCTCTCGGCGGCCGCTCGCTCGCCGCCCGCCGGCCCGCTGTCCCCGCAGTCTCCGCGCCTCGGTCGGTGTGCGATCGAGCCTCCCTCCCTCTAGTGCAGGAAATGCGCAAAGGACGTCAGTGTTGGGTGTGTGTGTGTGTGTGTGTGTGTGTGTGTGTGTGTGTGTGTGTGTGCACGCGCACGCGCGCGCGCGCCACTGTTTGGGGAAATAGAAAGTTTTACCGGTTGGGGGAGCAATACGGGAAAAGTGAAGCGAGGAGGGAAGAGCAGAGAGCGGGGCCGGCCTGCCCTAGTTGCAGCGGCGGTCAGCGGAGCCCGGCGGGGACCCCGCGGAGGAGCGCGAGGGGCGGTATTCGCGGTGATCTCCACCCGGGGACGCGTGGGCTCCGGGGCCAGATCGGTCGTGTAGATCCAGGGACACACAAGCGCGTTGCCTCGGAAAACTCCGAGCCTCCCGGAGTCCAGCCCCGGGCAGTGCGAGCTGGAGCGGCCTACGGAGTCCCGCCTGTCGGTCACTGTCCTGGGACACTCGGCGCCCGCAGTGGGGGAAGGGCTGGGGAGGAGAGAGCCGGGCTCCGGAGTTTTAAACGCGATTGTAGCGCTCTTCTTTGCGGGGGGAGGACATTCTCCCCGCAGGATTGTGTCCGGGACTTCTCCGGCTGCCAGAACCTGTTGACAAGCGGAAGGTTGGCCGAAGCCCTGGCCCTGATCGCCTTGTGCGGCTTGTTTGTTTTTCACCGAGTGACTCCCGCGATCTACTCCGGACCTCGGCTGCGCCACCTAGAGGCCCCCAGCTCGGACCCGCGAGCTGACAGCGGGAAAGCGGGGCGCGCCCGGCGGGAGGCAGGGGCTGTGTCAGCGCTAATTTCCTCCGTAACCTTTCAACTCGCCGGCAGCAGCGGTGGCAGCTGGTCTTGTAGGACGAGCCTGGGCCGTCGCGGGGAGCCGGGACGGGGAAGGCGACGAGGCGAAGGGTGTTCCTCGCTGGGGACTGGGAACCGGGGAGGATGGGAACCGCGTGGGGAAAGGGGACCCGGAGCCGGACTGTGCGATTGGGAAGAGTAGACATGCCACCGTCACCCCTACACCAAGTCAAATCGCAGAGTGTGTGGGGATCGCGGTGAGCTGAGTGTTTTTTTCTGGCGGGTTTGATTAGTATAGATCAAAATTTTAAAGTAGTAAAAAAAAAAAAAAGATTATCCTTGCCTATGGCTTTAAAAGGTGTAAAGTGAGTTGGTCCCCTGTAACAACAGGACGTCAGGTGCACCACACAGGTCCCCAAAATGATCAGAAGAGTCCCAAGGTCATTGAGACAAATTCTGTAGCCCCAGAGGAGCCCAAAGAGTAGATGCCTGAGGTCGTTCCCCTAGGGCTTAGAAGTATGTATTTCTTGGAGCCGACCCAGTGCTTCAGGCAGCTGGGTAGAGATGATACAAAATGCAGTCTTGGGGACAGCTGTGATCTTTCACATGTAAAAAGTCTTTGAACGCAAGGCTTGCGTGGTCACTCCCACCAACTGGAGGTGTGGCATTTTAAAATAATCAGTTCAAAGTACAAGCAGGGAGACATTATTGCTGTCTAATTTGCATTTCTTTGATCGCTGGAATTTTTCTCTCTTGCTACTCAGTTCCACTTTTTTTTTCTTTTTTTTTTCTTTTTTTGAGTCACTTAGTTCAGCCTGCCCTAGAGCTCCCCTTGATCCTCCTACCTCAGCCTCAAGTGTTGAGAGTGCTTTACCACCCCTGCACCGCTAATCAATTCTAATTAAACATTTTTCCCCCTTCCAAGGCATAACTCACTTGGGTGGGTCAAGCCTTCGTGCAAACAGAAACACGTGGGATTGAAAAACATTTACCTAAACCCCTTCTCTTTAGTGTATTAAACAGAAAAATTTACAATGAAGGACACACTGAATTTTGGCATATCCTATTCCCACTCCCCACCCTAGCAGGACTCCAAATATATTAAATATGACCTCTGCCATCTCAGGTTATCTTAAAGCAGATAACTTCCAGACTTCCAACCCTGTTGCACTCTGGATAAGGATTAGGAAGGTAGTAGCATCTGTCTCTTAGCAAACTCTTTCTCCATGGAAACAGACCAAGTCTCAGAGGTGACCAACATCAGTCTCCTTTCTATTACAAGTCTTTCAGGATTTGGTGTACAAAAAGATGTCAAACAAAATTCCTGCTTTGCATTGAATGAATTCTTACATAAAAATGGAGAGAAAGCCAGGCATAGTAATACATGCTGTAGTCCCAGCATTCGCACTAGGGAGGCTGAGCTACAAGGATTGCCATGAATTCAAGGCCAGCCTAAAATATAGTAAGACCTTATCTAGAGAAGAGTGTGAAAGAAAAGAGGAGACCATGTGTTGTGGCAAACATCTGTCGTTCCAGCACTCTGGGAGACTGAGGCAAGTTGACTACAAGTTCAAGCCTATTCTGAGCAGTTTAGCAAGTTAGGAGATCTTGTCTCAAAACAAAAAATTTAAAAAGACAGGATGTAGCTTAGTTTGAAGCCTTGGGGTTCCATCCCCAGTACTGAGTTGGCAGAGGCAGGCAGGGGATGCTGGTAATCTGCATGCAAACATGCTAGTTTCCTTTATCACACTCTTATTTCTAAGTAAATCACTCATCTTCCTACTCTTAAACTTGGCCAGAAGTGTAAAGTTTTCATATGAAAAGAAAACAAAGAGAGAAAGCAAAGAATGGAAAGTTCAGTCAGTAATGAGGGCCTGCTTCACCCTCCTCTTGTTTTGTGACTCTCAGGGACAGCGCCGTAACTTGTGTATGTATTGAGTAAAATGCTCTTGGATTCCCAACAATGGTCTGGTTATTATCTATGAGAGAGGGGAGAGAGAGTAAGAAATAGCATGTAGAAACATAATAAAGTTCAAGATTGGGAAATTCTCATTTTATTTTTTTATCAGCTTTATTGAACAAAATTTGCATACATTTCAATTTACAAGCTTAAAGTATATGATTCACTAGATTCTATCATATTGAAAGAGTTGTACAGCCATGACCACAATCAAATTTAGATCATTTTTGTTATCCCAAAGCAAAATACTCTATCCAGGAGCTCTCATCTCCTAACTCTTCCCCACTAAATGTAGGCAATCACTGAGCTATTGTCTGTCTTCATAGGTTTGCCTAGTCTAGGAATTTATTTTTGTATTCAAGATAGACCATATTGACACTAATAATAAAGATCTTAATATACCCAAAGAAATGGAAATCCTGCAAAGTGAACTCTCACAACCACATTGGAGTAAAACTACAGACTGACAGAAGAAGCACACTACAGTAACTTTTTTCCTTCTCTTTCCCTATTATCCATTTTTACTTCATACTTTATATAGGATTAACTTTTTTGTTTAGAGTACTTCTTTTAAAATTGTGGCTAACAGCTGGATGTGGTGACACACACCCGTAATATCAGTGCAAAGGAGGCTGAAGCAGGATGATCACCAAAGGTTTAAGGCCAGTTTGAGCTACAGAGCAAATTAGAATCAAATAGTGGCTCACAGGAAAAGGAGTGATAGAGAAGCCATCATCTCGAGGGCAGAGCAATCAGTGTCACAGATCTAGAGAGTGCACGTTGGTTTAGCTTGACTAAAGGCAGCTGAAAAGGGGGGCCAGACCCTTAGTCTGGGGTGTTAATATCCACGCGTCCACTGCTCTGCTCTATGTGGCCATTTATAGAATGTTAATGGGTTTCAGCAAGGTCTGCCTGGACAGGGGCTGTCATACATTCCTCACGTGCTCCACTGAGCAGAATTTAGCCACCTGGGCTGCAGGATGGAATGTGTGGTGGCACAATGACACGAAAGCCTTCCAGAGCTCTGCCAGCTCTGCCCCAGCCCAGCTGCCACCTCATTCCCAAACTGCTCCTCACTTCACCCCAGGCCCACCATCCTGTTGCTGGCTTCTTCCCAGCCTGCCATGGTTTATTTCTGCCCCATCTCTGCTCTGAACTCTCCTATGGCGGCTCAGAAGCCAGGCAAAATTTACACCTGCAAGAAGACAGAGGGGTCAGAGGTAGACCCCATGGAGATAATAGATAGATTCAGGGAAGATACAACCTGGTGATCCTGCTTCCTCAGCTCCCTAGACTGCAAGCCAGGGGCATGCAGGTAAATCACACCATATAACCCTCTTCTT